TTATGAAGCAAGAGATTCCTCGAAACCCAACTTTTCTTCGCACATTATTAAGAAGCCTGTTATGTATTCTAAAGTTGGTTGGAGAGCACGGCAACACGGTAAAAGGAGTGTTTAAGCTTACAGGAATCACACTACTTAAGTTTGTAAAATGACTTATGGTTATTTATGAAATTACTATACAAAATAAGCAAAGCTCTTAATTATCTTTTGAAAACAGAAATATCAGAAAATACTGGATCATGTGAGAGACGCCATTCTGGCTACGGACTTAGCCCATCATTTGAAAATTCTGCCCAAATTGAAGCAATTGGCTTCTGAAGGTTACCAACCCTCCAATCCAGTACATCATAATTTATTGGTTTGCCTCCTGATGACCTCTGCTGATCTCAGTGACCAATCAAAGGACTGGAGCAATGCCAAGATTGTTTCCGAGCTGCTGTATCAAGAGTTTTTCCGACAAGGAGATCTAGAAAAGGCACTTGGTACGACGCCTGCACCCTTTATGGACCGCGAACGAGCATGTATTCCAGAACTGCAGATCTCCTTCCTAGACAGCATCGCAATCCCGTGTTTTGAGTGAGTTTAGAACGCGATGCAGTACTGGCAAAATTTAAACAAAGAAATATTCACCTAAATATTAAAGACAAAGATAGAAAAGGCTTGACCTAATTTTCGCGACTTGACCGTATTTTCAGGGCATGTTGTCCTAGGTTCTCTGCCACGATAGTCATGATACTATCCAAGGTCACCCTGTTAGCTCAGTACGTTTCCAAGCCTATCGGCAACAAATTAATCGTCAAGGGGACAAGTAAAGTCCATCCTCTGACCAACTTACTAATAATTAGTTATCATCTTTCCTACTCTAATACATTCGCTTATCCCATAAACCCCTCTCCTCCCATACTATCATTAATTTAAATTTACTTACTTTCACCTATCACAGAGGTCTGATCTTTTGAGTAGATTTAGTGAGGCCTACTCACGCCCCCAAATAGTTCCTCTCTCCCATTTCCACTGTGCTTAAACAATTGGTCCAACTTGACCATTTCAGTTTGCAATCTACATCATCCAAGCTATATTAGAACTGCTCTCACACCCTAGAAAGCCCATTTTACCTCTCCGGCTAGGGGAATTCCCTCCGCTACTACCATCTTATGCGTGTTGCTCTAGGCGTTAGTTCACATAATCTACTTCAAGCATTTACATCAGGCGTATATTAGCCTAACATTACGGACTTCCAAAGCCTGGATTACAGCGGTCAGGCCTAAGCTATAGGAATATGAAATATGCATATGTACCGAGAAAGGTGGAAAGTTGGTCACGAGGCGGATCATGAGAATAGCATTCAAACAATATACGTGCCATGGAAAGCAATCTAAGGCGGAAATATTGCCGGATTAAAAATGTATGCCATTTAGTGGAGAATACAGCAGTTCAGTCACAAATGCATTCTATTTAGGCTATATCTGCGGCCGCTTCTCACAAATCTAGTCACGACTCCAAGACGCAATCCCCCTCAAGTTTCCGGTAAGGCCAATTTACGAATCCATTCCACTAGCCTCTTCAAATGAAATGAAAGCTACCCCAGCTTCCATCTTTCAAGGGACCCTTGAAACCGATAGTAAATACCGGTACAACTGCTTCTGAGGATCATCACTTTTACACTAAGACAAATAAAGCAATGGCCCGGCAGGTTAGCCATAATCATTTTTTTGGAAATTCTGTTGAGCTCATAGGTTTATTTGCTAATTTTGTATCATTGATAGGCCAAATTTACCTAAAGGTACTAAGAGAGTACTTTAGAGTGCAGCCGAGGACATGGATAATGAGGACCCAGGAAAACACAAAAGTAAGCTCCATAATGTGGGGGAAAACCAGATTACGCCAATCAATGGTGAACAATCGGAAGATTTCTCTAAATTACGAAGAATAGTGGATAGGCTATATGGTAAAATTTATCACCAGGTAAGATAAACATTGGTAGGGAATTTGGGCATAAGAATCAGAAGAAAGGGCAATAAAATTTAGTAAAAGTAGACATTAGGGAGCAAAGGGTTGCTGGTTTGGCGATAAACCTATACAAAACTGCATTGGGCGTGACCATTGATGAAGAGGACACAAGGGATTTGAAATTTGATTTGCCAAACGGTAAGGATAGTAGGTAGGAAATACTACTGTAACTCATAAGTTGTACCGGGCATATTATGACATGCTTTTCCATTTCGAAGGAAAAGTTGGTTGGAAGAAATTTGTCATCTGGTCTCACCGAAAAATGAAGGATTGCCACCTAAGGAAGACTATAGAATTGTTCGAAGAATTCATCGGTTCACTGTCCTGCGGATCCCGATAAAATTGTGCTAAGCTTTCGACTCTACTATGACAGACATCATCAAAGAAGGTATCCATACTTCACGAAATAAAGCAAAAATATATACTAGGCCAAGAGCAAATGTCGCCGATTGAAATCCTAGTCGCTCATAAGCCTAAAATCAAGATGTTAATGAGGCATCCCATGATTTGGTTAGCTACTTCAAACTTACTCTATATGCTTGTAAATGAATGAATTTACTTCCCGAACCGGAAGTGCGTTCGGTGGCAGCTGTTTCTTTACACAAATAAACTGGTGCACGATCCTCTACTATTGAATCATGTTCAGGCCTGTGCTATTGCTAATTGTATGTATGTAATGTTCATGTCATGGTAAGTATAATAGTCCTAGTTAGACTTGAGGCTAATACAGCCTCTTCCTCTTGTTCAGTGGCTCTTCCTGCACTCCCTCTCTCTCCCTCTCCTTAAGTCTAGCAAGCAGTCACAGATTGTTCCTACTCAATTTTCTACACTTCTTCCTCCCATTCAGGATGTTGGCTCTTTTGTTCATTTCCAGACACCCCAACGTTACGCTTTGAAGTGAAATCCCCGTAACTCACAAAACGTTGTGTCTTGTACCAGTCTATTGAGTGTCCTCTATTGGTCGTGTCCAGTGAGCTCAGATTTTTTGACCGATATACCTTTACAAGTGGTTTTGTGTTCGCATAGTCCCTTCTGGATGGGTCAGCAGGTCTCGCCCACATATACCTTACCACATTAACACAAAACCCTTAGCAGATTAGTTTAGAAAGATCTGAAAATTCTCTAAACAAAGGAACTGCTGAAGAAATTGTTAATTTATCTTTATGCATTGTTTTTATGTTCCACTTCCTCAGTAGATCGCCCAACTTTTTCGCAAGTTGACACGAAGGCAAAATCAGAAAATGAGTAGCATGATCAAATTGTTTATCCCGCCCCAGATAGCCAACTCCTCTCATCTTGTTACTGACAATCGATATGTAATTGTCTATTAATCCTAATGGGTAATTGTTTTGAAACAGTATATGCCTCAATCTCTCGATCTCCTGGTCCTTGTAGTTTGCATCTGCTAAACGCAGACTCCTTACTATCATAGACGTAATAACTCTTACTTTGACTCTATATCTATGGTTGGAGAAGAAATTAATGGGGAAACCTGCGAATTTTCGGACCCTCCTAGACCAGACCGCTAAAAGGTTTTGTACTCATGTGGTAAGGTCTATGTGGGCAAGACCAGCTGACTAATCCAGAAGAGACTATGCAAACAATAAAACACTTATAAAGGTATATCGCTGCCACTTTCGGTTCGGGAAGTGCGTTCAAGCATGTAGAGTAAGCTTGAAGTAGCCAACCAAATCATGTGATGCCTCATTTAGATCGCGATTTTAGGCTTATAAGCGACTAGGATTTT